AGTTTCCCAAGAGCCAGGCTGGAGCGCAAATGGCGCAATCTTGGCTCACTGTAACCTCTGCCACCCAGGTTCAAGCGATTCTCCTGCCTCAGCCTCTCGAGTAGCTGGGATTACAGGCTTGCACCACCACGCCTGGCTAATTTTGTATTTTTAGTAGAGACGGGGTTTCACCATGTTGGTCAGGCTGGTCTCAAACTCCCGACCTCAGGTGATCCGCCCGCCTTGGCCTCCCAAAGTGCTGGGATTAAAGGTGTGAGCTACCACGCCCGGCCTAAAAGTTCTTCTTAATCTAGTTTCTATAAACCATGCATGCCAGTTTCATCATTGGATCCCTATACCCAAGTTGTTCATGGTTTAAGCCAAGCTCTTTTAGTTCTTTGAATGCACTAACTTCGTCTTTATTCTAGATGATTCTTCTACATAGAATGATCTCATTTTTAAAAAAAATTATCTGGTTAATTTTTTAATTAATTATTTCATCTGGTTAATTTTTTCTTCAAATTCTAGCTTAAGTGTTACTTCCTCAGACAGCCCTCTTTTGACCCCCTAGACAAGGTAATAACATTATCTTTGCATAGATTCCCATAGCTCTATAACTCCCCTTTTTGATGTTTTTTTGTTTGGTTGGTTGGTTTTTGTTTGTTTGTTTGTTTTATGACAAGATTTCACTCTGTCACCCAGGCTGGAGTGCAGTGGCAGAATCATGGCTCAGTGCAGCCTTGACCTCCCAGACTCAAGTGATCCTCCCACCTTTCAGTCTCCCAAGTAGCTGTGACTACAGGACTATGCCATCACGCCCAGTTAACCTTCTGTATGCTTTGTAGAGACAAAGTTTCTCTGTGTTGCCCAGGCTGGTCTCAAACTCCTGAGCTCAAAGGATCTACCCACCTTGGCCTCCCAAAGTCCTGGGATTATAGGTGTGACTCACCATACCTGGCCCCCTTTTTGTATTTTTAATGGTTTGTTTAAAGTTCTGAGACAGGAACCATATTCCTCTTGTACACTCACTTATCCCAATGGAAATGCTTGGAGCATTAAGTACACAGTAGATATTTATTGAAAACAAATGGGGTCCTCGTTAAGTAAATACTTATCAAAATCATAATGAAATACCACTTCACATCCACTAGGATGGCTGTAATCACAAAGACAGCCAGTGATAAATATTGGCAAGATGTGGAAAAATTAGTATATTGCTGATAGGAATATAAGATGGTACAGACACTCTGAAAAACACTTCCTCAAAATACTAAACCATGTGACCCAGAAATTTCACTCCAAAGTGTATATGAATGAATGAAATAAAAAAATATGTCCACATAAAAACTTGTATATGAGTGTTCACAGCAGCACTATTCATAATAGTGTAAATGTAGAAACAACCTAAATGTATTTTTTAGCTCGGGCTGCCATAACAAAATACCATAGACTGGGTGGCTTAAACAACACGCATTTATTTCTCACAGTTCTGGCGGCTTGGAAGTCCAAGATCAAGGTAGCATTTAATTTGGTTCCTGGTGAGGAACCAAAACCAAAAAACGTCTCCTTCCTAGCTTGCAGACTGTCACTTTCTTGCTGTGTCTCACATGGCCTTCCCTCTGTTTGTGCTGTGGAAAGAGAAGAAGCAAGCTTCAGTGTCTTCCTCTTATAAGGGCACTAATCCCATCCTGGGGACCCCACCCCTACATGACCTCATCTAAACCTAATTAACTCCCAAAGGTCTCACCTCCAGATACCATCACATTAGGAGTTAGAGCTTCAACATATGAACTGGGGAGTTGGGGAGGCGGGCATACAAACATTCAGTACATAGCAATGTCCATCACCTGATGAATGGATAAGTAAAATATGGTATGTTCATATAATGGAATATTATTATTCATCCATAAAAAGGATGAATCACTGATGCATGTGATGACATAAATGAACCTTGGAAACATTATGCTTAAGGGAGAGAAGCTAGACATAAAAGACTACATGATATATGATTCCACTTAGATGTAATGTCCCCAGTAGGCAAATCTGTAGAGACAAAGTAGATTGATTGCCCAGGGCTGGAGAGGTTGAGAGAAAATGGAATGTGATTGCTAATGGGTATAGGCTTTCTTTTAGGGGTGATGAAAATGTTCTAGAATTAGCTTGAGGTGATGTTTGCACAAGTCTGAATATACTGAAAACAATTCAATTCTATACTTTGAATTAATTTTATGTGAATTGTATCTCAAGAAACCTGATAAACTTCAGCAAAACTTGGTGGTTTGCTTTAAAGGAGCAAAATAAAAATGCTGTTCTGTTACATGTTTTTGGACTCTAAATGTCTGGAAATGTCAGTTGCAGGAGAGTACTTTTTTTAAAAGAATAGAAAATAACAAAGAAAAAGAGGAATAAACCTAGTGCTACCCTCTCCTGAAAGCAATTTGAAACCTCTGAGTAGCCACCAGAATAGATTTTCTATCAGAATACTTTTTTATGTGTTACCCAGATTGTTGAAAGGAAATAAATTGTAGAGATCTCTAAAAAGTCAGACGTTTAATGGCTCTGTGAGCAAAAGCAGGGGGAAAAAATCAGACCTTTAATGCTATATAATTTAACAGTATCAAGAGAACACTTTGAAAACGTTTTGATTAAAACAGTCCTTGAGTAAGGCATGATAAAGTGGCCATTCTACCAAGATGAATAATCATCCCATCTCACTTATTTTTTTAATTCATAATATATTGTTATTGTGTGACTTTAAATAACTTAAAGGTTTTTATTTTTTTCCTTTTACATTGAATAATTTACCTACCTTTGTACCTTCTAATTACTTTTTTGGGAAAAAAGACACGAACCACCCCACTTCCTTATTTCTCTAATGAGATGAGTGCAATAACTATCTTATTTCCCTCATTTCATTTTGAGGAATAAAAATTACAATCTATATAGTGACTTTTTTAAAGGCAAGAATAACATATAGTTTGAAATTTTTCTCAGGTGGTGTCATACAAGTTATTTAATGACACCCCTACTTACTACATTTGTTGGGCTAAGTCCTATGTATCCTTAAGTTTAATCTGTACCATCATTCTTGCATTCTTGGATTTCCTTCACAAGCGTTCCTTCTCTGTGCTTCCATGGTATTCAACGCATATCTCCATGTACAGGCACTGTTTATCTGCCTGTCTCTTCCATTAGACTATATGTTTCATTAAGGCCAATGACTGGATCTTATCTTTGTACCTCAGCATCTATAACTGAATTTGGCAAATAGGATGCACTCAGTAAATTCTGAACTAAACTGAATCAGAGAAAAAAGCTTTATTAGATGTCATAGGGGCTGATACTTGGTCAGTTAATTTTTTTAAGTTGAAGCATAGAATTTTTTAAATTTTGGATATTAAACCTTTGATATATTGAAGCACAGAATTATTGAATACATATATACATGAAGTTTAATTTTTAATTTGTATTAATTTTTGTTTTTTTATTTTTGAGATGGAGTCTCACTCTATCACCCAGGCTGGAGTGCAGTGGCACAATCTCAGCTCACTGCAACCTCCATTTCCCAGGTTTAAGCAATCCTCCTGCCTCAGCCTCCCAAGTAGCTGGGACTACAGGTGTGTATCACCATGCCTGGCTAATTTTTGTATTTTTAGTAGAGATGGGGTTTCACCATGTTGACCAGGCTGATCTCAAACTCCTGACCTCAGGTGATCTGTCTGCCTCGGCCTCCAAAGTGCTGGGATTACAGGTGTGAACCACTGCGCTGGGCCTGAGGTTTTATTTTTGTTGTATATAATCTTTGACAATTATTTAACATACGGCATGACCATTGAATGAGAGACCCTAATTTTAGTTCTACTTACTCTTTTTTGCTTTAAAAACCAAACATTTTATAAAACCCTAAAATGAAAATAGTTCATTTAAAATGGAGGCACTTGGGAAGAACTTAGGACATGAACACAGAATCTTTTTATTTTTTAATTTTATTATTATTATTTTATGTATTAATAAAGTCTCGCTGTGTTGCCCAGGCTGGTCTTGAACTCCTGACTTCAAGTGATCCTCTGGCCTTAGCCTCCCAAAGTGCTGGGATTACAAGCCTGAGCCACTGTGCCCTGCCTACAGAATCTTTTTAGATTTTTACTATTTTTCCCAGTCTGTAACAGATATCCAACCACAACTAATTCAACAATGATTTTTATTAGCACCTTTTTTTTTTTTTTTTTTTTTTTTTTTTTTGAGACGGAGTTTTGCTCTTGTTGCCCAGGCTGGAGTGCAGTGGCACAGTCTCAGCTCACTGCAACCTCCTTCTTCTGGGTTCAAACGATTCTCTTACCTCAGCCTCCCGAGTAGCTGGTATTACAGGGGCCTGCCACCACGCCCAGCTAATTTTTAAATTTTTAGTAGAGACGAGGTTTCGCCATGTTGGCCAGGCTGGTCTTAAACTCCTGACCTCACGTAGTCCACCCGCCTCAACCTCCCAAAGTGCTGGGATTACAGGCGCAAGCCACCGCGCCTGGCCAGCAACTCATTTTTATTGAGTCTACTTTAAGCATTTAAAATAGTTCTTGGAGAAGCAACAACTCTTTTTGCAGTCATAGTTTTGATAACCAAACACAATGGCATCAACAAGTTCAGGAACAAACTGACCAGCTCTTACTAAGCATATACCTTAGCCATTTGGGACAGAAGTGCAAAGGAGTAGCTAACCAGCTACGTGCATTAAAACTTATCCTGAGCATCAGATAATACATTTTACAGAAACAATGGAATATTGTTAGTCTAGTAAGCCACTTAGTAGGAGGGAATTTAAGAGAACTTACATAGTACTTCTTTTCTACACCAAAATTTCATCAATGATAGCACTTACTCAAGAGTCAGCTATATCTTGCCACTAGATTTTATAAACTTCATTATCCTTAACTCAGTGCTTTGAAATGTCTTATTGTCTTCTCAGGTCACTCTGGCCACGCACAAAGAATTTCATGCTAATTTTTTTTTCATTTGTTTAATTTCAGTGGTAGGAATGGGATCCTGGTGCTTCCACATGACTCTGAAATATGAAATGCAGGTTAGTAATGATGAAATTGACAAATGCTTATTTCTCTTAATTCAGAAGTACTTCAGATTTGAGAAAAGAGCACATAACTATGGCTAAAAGATGGGATTTGTAATCTCTGGAGTTTTTTTTACTTCAAGTCTGAGGATCCAAACTAAGTGAAGTAAAGAAATAAGCAGGTGAGTCCATAAAGAAAACAAGTATAAATAGTATAGGGCTTTTTGACCATCTCTGTGCAGGCATATACAATTGAGAGCAGCATTAGAGAGCAGTCACATGGGGACATCTTAAAAAGACACAATCAGTTTACCAGAACAATACATTCTTATTCTGAGATACCTGCATTCTTTCATGTTTCTATGGCATCCATTTGAATGGTCTGAGTCCCTCTAGGTAGCAAGACTTTAGAGCAAGCTTGTCCAACCTGTGAGCCACATGTGACCCAGGATGGCTTTGAATGCAGCCCAATACAAATTCGTAAACTTTCTAAAAACATTATGAGGTCTTTTTGCAATTTATTAATTAATTAATTTATTTATTTTATTTATTTTTTTTGAGAAGGAGTCTAGCTCTGTCACCCAGGCTGGAGTGCAGTGGCCGGATCTCGACTCACTGCAAGCTCTGCCTCCCGGGTTTACGCCATTCTCCTGCCTCAGCCTCCCAAGTAGCTGGGACTACAGGTGCCCGCCACCTCGCCCGGCTAGTTTTTTTATTTTTTAGTAGAGACGGGGTTTCACCGTGTTAGCCAGGATGGTCTCGATCTCCTGACCTCGTGATCTGCCCGTCTCGGCCTCCCAAAGTGCTGGGATTACAGGCTTGAGCCACCGCACCCGGCCTATTTTTATTTTTATTTTTCATTTTTTTGAGTCGAAGTTTTGCTCTTATTGCCCAGGCTGGAGTGCAGTGGTGCGACCTCAGCTCATTGCAACCTCTGCTTCCCAGGTTCAAGCAATTCTCCTGCCTCAGCCTCCCAAGTAGCTAGGACTACATGCACCCACCACCAAGCCCGGCTACTTTTTTGGATTTTTAGTAGAGATGGGGTTTCACCATGTTGGCCAGGCTGGTCTCGAACTCCTGACCTCGGGTGATCCGCCTGCCTCAGCCTCCCAAAATGCTGGGATTACAGGCATGAGCCACCGCACCCGGCCATTAGTGTTAATTTTATGTGTGACTCTGGGAAGCCAAAAGATTGGACACCCCTGCAGAGCTAGCCAAGGACTTTTAGTTTCCATCCTTACTCAGAGGAGGGCATATATGTCATCAAGTCCTTAGTCTTTTGATCTCTTGATTTCCCATCACTAATCCAGAAACTTCTAGAACAGTAGAACAAATAAAATCTGAGCTACATTTGTAATTTAAATTTTTCTAGTAGCTACATTGAAAAAAACTACACAGAAATGGGTGAAAATAATAGTATATTTTATTTGGCCAGGCATGGTGGCTCACGCCTGTAATCCCAGCACTTTGAGAGGCCAAGGTGGGTGGATCACGAGGTCAGGAGATCGAGACCATCCTGGCCAACATGGTGAAACCCCGTCTGTACTAAAAATACAAAAATTAGCTGGGTGTGGTGGTGTGCGTCTGTAATCCCAGCTACCCGGGAAGCTGAGGCAGGAGAATCTCTTGAACCTGGGAGGCAGAAATCGCACTGAGCCAAGATCGCGCCATTGCACTCCAGGCTGACGACAGAGCGAGACTCCGTCTCGAATAATAATAATAATATATTTTATTTAACCCAGTATATCTAAAATATTATATATATAATCAATATAAAAAATTATGAATAAAGTATTTCATATTCTTAAATCTGGTTATATTTTATACCTGCAATATATTTTTAGTTAAGATTAGGCTTATTTCAAGTGCTCAGTAGCCACACTGGAGTGTCAAAACCTGAGTGTGGCTTATAGGATAGCCACATGGGGTGGGGACTATCCATCACAGAACACTGGGACCTGAGCCAGTTAAAGAGAGTGTCAACATAGGGGGATAGTCCAGTGTAGGGTGTCAGAGCCTAATTAGGAGTGAAGAGGGTATTTGCACATCAAGGCAGCCCAGGGACAGGGTATTAGAGACCAGGGTTGAAGAAGTATCCATGCAAAGGGGACAGCTCAGTGCAGAATAAGGAGGGTGTCCTCACACACTGGGGAGGTCATTTGACATGTGGTTGGAATCTGAGTGGGATGGGGAGAGTGCCACATAGTGGGGACAGCTTTGTGCCATGTTTTGGTACCCTGGGAAGGTGAGGGTGACTTCTACATGGCAGAGTGGCCCACTGCAGGATCTGAGAGCATAAGCAGAGTCGAGAGGCCTTCTAAGTGGAGGTGCAGCAGCAGCCCAGCACCGAGTGTTGGAGCCTGAATTGAGTGAGAAGGGCATTGCTTGGGAAAAGGAGACATAGCAATGGAAGCCATGTTGCATACAGGGTAATTAATCAAATAAATAAATATACTAAGGAGAATGGGAGCCAGGTTTCTTACTGTTAGAGAACAAAGTCACAAACATGGAAAAGATGAAAACTAGAATGAACTCTGTGGTGACAAATTGAAATTGGAGTTAACAGTGCAAACTCATATGTTCAATACATACATATGTTATAGACATATAGATATGAAAATATGTGATATGCATATGTATTTTGTATATATGTATACATACTTAAATATTTTAATACACACATATGTACATACATTCTCAAGCTCTGTCCATGAGAGGATCTGGGAATGGGGAACTTCAAAGCCAAAGAATATATCTAGCATCCAGATCTTGTTTTCTAAAAATCATTCTTTAAAAGGAAGCAGGGCTGATTCCAAGGGCTGGGGCAGAAAAAAAAAAAAAAGGACAATATCAGCCTAGATCATCTTTTTATGCCAGAAAAAATGGAAAGGCTTAAAAAATTATGGGAATATGTCAAAAGGACACTGAAGCCAACTTGAAGGGGTTCCTGCTGGCCAAATCTGGGACAATTTGAGCATCAAAATAAATGGTAACAGGTTATAATAGTTATAACCCGATGAGTAATATGGGAAATCTGAGTCCATTCTAAGATAATAAATGATGTATTAAATGAAATAATGCATGAGTATAAATAAATGAAGAAAAAGTTTGATGTTGAAGAGTATGTTTATATAGTTTCAAAGTACCTTTCCACCAAGTATTTAAAAAGAGGAGAAAGAATACCTTTACAGTGGAGAAGCCTAGTGGGAAATACCTTAATCAAGCAACCTAATCATCACTAATGGGACAAATCAAAATTATATGTGTTAATGGAAAAACTAAACCTTGTCAAATATTTTTATTTTATATTATTATTTTTAATTTTTATTATTATTATTTTTTGAGATGGAGTTTCGCCTTTGTCGCTTAGGCTGGCATGCAGTGGTGCCATCTTGGCTTACGGTAACCTCTGCCTCCCAGGTTCAAGTGATTCTCCTGCCTCAGCCTCCCGAGTAGCTGGGGTTACAGGCGTGCACCACCATGCCCGGCTTACTTTTTTTTTTTTTGAGATGGAGTCTCACTCTGTTGCCCAGAGCGACACTGGAGTGCAGTGGCGTGATCTCGGCTCACTGCAACCTCTGCCTCCCAGGTTCAAGCCATTCTCCTGCCTGAGCCTCCTGAGTAGCTGGGGTTATAGGCGCCCGCCACCACACCTCGCTAATTTTTGTATTTTTAGTAGAGACGGGGTTTCACCACATTGGCCAAGCTGGTCTTGAACTCCTGACCTAAGGTGATCCACCCACCTGGCCTCCCAAAGAGCTGGGATTACAGGCGTGAGCCACTGCGCCCGGCCTGTCAAATATTTTTTAAAGGCTTATTCTGAGCCAGTATTAGTGACCATGGCATGGTGTGATACTGGTGGACTGGGGGAAGTCCCCAAACACCAGTGGACCTCTATCCTAGCCAATGTCTAGGCTCTTGATACCATCACAAGAATGAATTCAAGGACAAGTCGAAAAATAATAAAAGTAAAGAAATTTATTGCAAAGAAAAAAGGTAAGAAAAAGGAGTGCAGATGTACTTGAGAGAATGTCATGCAGTGGGGTTTGGGGCTGCTACCTTTATGTGTTTCTCTAACCAAGGAATGGAATATTCATGAAAATTCCTGGAAAAAGGTAGAGATTCATCAGAACTGTGGTGCCACCCATTTTTATATCAAATATAGGTATTCCTGGAACTGTCATAGTGAGGGAGAAGAAAAGGAAAAATTAGTTAGGTAAACAGTTAAGGCTGGTCCTCAGAAAAAGCTGCCTGCTGGAAAAATCAACAGCTACAGGCAAGATAGTGCAGCTTGGAGAAAAACTCAGACTGTATAAGGTGCCTGCCTGAAAAAATCGCAGCTACAGTGCAACTGCACAGATAAGCCACAGATAAGCAGGCAAGGCAGGAAAAGTCCAGCATAGAAGCCCTTTGTTCTTTGTATGATTAGCGAGCGCCCAGGAAGTGTCCTCCCCCTTTCAGACATGTACACAGTGGGCTCCATGGAAACTTGCACAGGGAGGAGGGGGGCTTACTTTAAACAAACCCACAATTATACAAACAAAAAAAAATTCATTTAATGCTTATCTAGAGATATACCCATAACTACATAGATAAAGGGGAGTTATGCACACAGTTTTATAGATAAATTCATCAAACACAGACATGAGAGCAGTTTCTTATGAAAGCTTTTGAATTCAGCTTTTCTTCTTTTGCTTATTAAACTTTTGCTCCAACCTGATTCTTTGTGTCCATACTCCTTAATTTTCTTGATTGTGAGACTACGAGCTCGGATAACACATTAGACAACGAGACCAGTGACCCTGACCTGTTTCAGCATGCTGCTGGGTTTGTGATTTAGTATGTTAATGAGCACATAATGAAGTCCTAGGTGAAACCTAGGTCAAATCCAGTGACATGTTGGATCCAATCGGTCTTAGCCAGCTTGGTTCACACCCTGTTTTTCAGGATCTTACCAGCCCAAAGACTCTAAGTCATATGAAATTGCTGCCTGGAATTTCTTCTCCACCCTATAT